TAGGATGCTCATAAGCAGCTTATCTCTAATTGGATTTCCTTTTCTAACTGGATTTTATTCCAAAGATGTGATCCTAGAACTCGCTTACACTAAGTATACCATCAATGGGAACTTTGCTTTCTGGTTGGGAAGTGTCTCTGTCCTTTTCACTTCTTATTACTCTTTTCGTTTACTTTTTCTAACATTTCTAGTACCAACTAATTCATTCGGGCGAGACATCTTATTATGTCATGATGCGCCCATTCCTATGGCCATTCCTTTAATACTTCTGGCTCTCGGGAGTCTCTTTGTAGGATACTTGGCCAAAGTGTGACCTGTTAGCCCATAAGTAAGTACTGTGACGAAGCGGCTGTTGCTCACCCGACACGATCGTACGAGGTCACAATTCACCCAGCACGATCATCCGGGGTGAACAAGAATTGGGGATCGGATGCGGGCGAAATTCCCTGCCAATGGCTGAGATGTTCATCGCCTCCTCCCCTTTGTGGGGTGAGGACCCCTTACGAGTGAGCGAAAAGGGAGGAGGAAAGAGGCCCTGGTGAATCGTCATAATTAGTGAACAAGTGTAAGCTTCGCTACCCGATAGTATGGAGTACTGACCACACCGAGGGACAGGCCCTGAAGCGAAGGACGGGAACGAGCGGACTCAATGTGTTCCAATTTCTGGCCTTGCACCGACCATCCAATGGACCATGGAGTAAACGGCCACTGCCCGAGAGGACTATGTCTAGGGGACCGCCGCCCGCCCACGAGGTACATCTTGCGCCTATGGGCCACTATAACTATCCAAGAAGACACTCGAAACTGGAAGGATAAACAAACCCACCCAGTGGACTGCCGAGCTACAAGTCCTACAACACAGGAGTGGGATTCTCTAAAAAGCCAAGGTCGTGGGTGGCCAAGAGGGCCCACTTGGAGACTTGGGATCTCAGCAGGAAATGCAAAGGAATGAACGAAGTGAAGCTGTTAGTTAGATAAGCCGGCCGATAGGCGAAAGAGAATCCACTAGTTTAGTTCTGATCTGAGTAGGCTCATAATATGGAATACCCTAACCCCGGGAACCGGGGCCTGGCCATCCTTCATTTGCGGTAGACGTTCCAGCTTTGCACGTCGACAGCCAAATCTTTTGATCTCGTTCGATTCATGATCGCATTTGCAAATCTTATCCCGTGAGCCTTAGCGGACTTTTTCATTCTTCACTCGGTCCTTACTTTCCAAAGCCGCTTAGGGTTTACTTTGGAAACGTGCTAAACAGGCCTACATGTTCACCTTTACGCCTTTATAATAGAAGAAAATTATATAGAAGTCTATAAAATTAGCCAGATCGTCTGAAGCATGAACAGAATCGCCTTTGTTCTGAAGGCCTAGTGAGTTCTTTTTTTTTTTTTACCAAGACTTCAACTAACTTTCTTGCTTTCTCTCTGCCTTTGCAATTCTCATTCCTAGCATTTTTCCTTATAAAATAAAAGCCCTTCCATTTCGAGGCCTTCGAAGCGCAATCGACCCTCTTTCTTCTTAATATTGGCATGACTCGGTAGGACCAGGCGAAGTCATTCTTCTAATAGCTTCGTTCCTTCTTTCTGAAGAGGCCCAAACATATTTAATATACTCTCGTAGCCCGCTTGGAGATCTGTTTACCTTATCTCTGACTTTTGTTCCCCATTCGCAGGTATAGCATAGTTTTCCCTTTTCGGTAAAGGAGAAGGAGGTTAAAGCCCAACTCCCAAGTCTGCTTACCTACTTCCTGCCCTTTTAGCAGCCTTTCTAAGAGATGTTCGACTATCTTGACAAGGGAATCAGCTAGCTGAATTACCAGGGTTGGAATATGTTAGGTACATGTCAGCTTCTTCAACAAAGTACCCGACTGCGGATGTTATTTCCCATCCAACAAGACCTTTTAGTGCCTCTGAGGCCAAGGGATGATCTATTCTGCTTTTCTCTTCGTCTGGAACCCCTGCTCCTTTCTCCTCTTCTCCAAGTAAGTACACTAGCAATACCTCAAGTCAGTCACTCCTGAAAGACGGATTTCCCTTCTCTTCTTCAATAGCTTTTCCCCCGGGTGTTAATACTTCTTAATGAATCACTCAAGAAGATGAGGATTCACCAATAGACCTAGCCATTGACGCTGTTTTCCCTGGGTAACGATAAAAAAGTTGTTGATTTACGGGTAATAGTTGTTCTATCTTTCTTTCGGGAGAGAGTGGTTAAAGGGCTGCTTCTTCCACCTTCAACCCTGTTGCAAGCTTAATTTCCTGGCGTTTGTGAGAGGGCTGGCTGAAGCGCCTCTAGCACATCCTGACTCGGACTTAATTGCAGGAAGCTCATCCGTACCAGAGCCTATTCGATGTCCTCTTCTGAAAAATCCTCCTATTCCTCATACAACAACTATGGCAGCTAAGAGCGCTGCTTATTCCACATCAAGAGCTCGAATGCCGCATCTAAGTGCCTATTCATGTGCAGCCAACTCTGATTAAGGAGAATCCAGTGCTTGGGATTGGCTTTGGATCTTGCTTCGCTTCCTTCCTCCTTTGTGTCAGTTAAGGCGCAAACAGGGGATTCTAGAACAAGAATAGCGGCTTGTGCGACAACCTATCTTGCGACAGCATTGCGATAATCTCAATAGCAACCGACTTTGCTTTTAGATTAGATGGAAAGCCCGTTAACGGCTACCATTCGATCAGCGCATGGGAGGGTTGTTATCATCTTTCAAAGAAGGCCCTAATCGGGGGCTATCATCTTCCTTCCCTCTCTGGAAATCCCAAAGCGTCGGATACAGACCTACAAAGAAGTAAAATAAATATTGATTTAATGGCAGGGTTGTAGCTGCTTTCGATCCAGTTTAAGTGCCAGTTGCCATTGATCTTCTTGGATAAAATGGGGCATCCTCCTTCTCTCGAAACGACAGATCCCGAAAGTGCTAGTTTAGCCTGACCCAAGGGAGGTTAGTTTCGAACTAGAATCGGGAAAGAACACGAACCGATCCAACAGAGGAGGGTGCAACTTCACTTCACATAAGTAAGACAAAGACTAGCCGAAGACTTATCCGCGAAGGAATCCACTCTTTTCTCCCACCGCGATAGAGGCTGCTAGCAGTGAGCACCGCCATACCCGAGTTAAGAAGAAGTCATGTGTTCCCGCTTGGTGTTCTGAGGAGTTCAGGGCTAAGTACGAAGCAAGCGACGGATAAACCCTGCTGAAAGCAAGGCTTGAGAGCGGGTGAGGTTGAATAATCCAATCCTTCCTTTTACTTTTCATTATTCTTATTTACTAAAAAGGAAAAGCATCCAACCAATCCAGTTTCACCAATCCTATTAGGCTGTTTTGGAAAGCCAGCGAGCTTTGAGGCAAGGAAGTTAAATTGTTGATGCGGGGAATGTCCTCTTTCTCTTTAAAGGATATAGAGTTTACCACATGCACATAATCTAATGCTAATTCATACCCAAGGGATTCTATATTCCTAGACGGGCTTATTCGTGAATGCGCAGGGAATGGGACTGTTACCATTCCATTCAGGTAATGCAATTGTGAATGAATGTCCGATCAATAGCAATAGTGCTTTAAGGAGTAGAAGCTGCTTTGTTAGTGAAAGCGGTTAGTAGATTAGAATCAATAATCAAAGATATGTTATTCAGGGGCGGCATACTCCCACATTATGGAGTACACTTTTTCCTTTCATTTTCTTTCACTTTGGTTTGGCACTAGGTCACAACGCTCTCTCCAACACTTGTTGGGTAAATCGACTCTTTTCTGCGCACAGCGGGGCAGATCACTCCTAAAAGCAAGCTTTCTCTTATATACGATGATACCAGCAGACGCGCATTCCTTGGGATCAGAAGGAAGACTATCCCTATGCGTGCTACTGCTCTAAGGCTTTCAATAATGAATTTGATGGCATGCTTTCGACGTGCTGTGATGAGAGATGCCTTAGCCTATTAACATCCCGTCCTTTTGAGTTGTAAGCAATGTCCCTTCGCTTGATAAGATTTCCAATGAAAGAACGAATTAAAAGTTAGGATGGATTAGAAAGATTTAAATCCTAAAGGAATGTTTACGTAATGGATAGATTGGACTACTGGAAAACTGAGACTGCTAATGGAAAGCGGTAATAGACCGCTAGATTAGTCTAGACCACTTTTGCATTGAAGTGAATCCCTTAATCTGAGTATAGGAGATTACGATTTTTTATGGTCCTACACCTGCAGCAAGCACATTCCCTTTGTATGAAATGCAATCTGTAAAAATTCCTGTGTATATCTGTAATGAGATTGAAAAACAATGAAAAAAGTTCTTATGGGGGTCAATAGATGAGAAAAGAAAGGTAAGCCTTGTGGGCTGGGAGGAAGTTTGTAAGGCCAAGGAGTCTCGGTGGCCTGGGACTGAAGCAAGCAACAGATTATGAACAAGGCACTACTTATGCGCTTGGGCTGGAAACTTATGGCCCAGCAGATTCATACTGGGCCGAGCATTGAGGGCAAAATATAAGATGGAGAGCAATAGCTGGCCTGAGAAATGAAGACGAAGGGGATCGGCCTGTTTTAGGGACTGGGCCAGATATGGGCTGATTTAAGAAGTGGGCTGGGATGGGTAGCATGTAATGGTAACACAGTGCAGTTTGTGAGAGATGTGGTATGCAGGATGAAACCTAAATCCATCCCTCGTCTTCTCTTTGTCCCGTATAAGAAATAGCCCTCGATCTGACTTTAGGTGAGCTCGCCTAATCGTAAGTAACTTCATGCAGCAAAAGAGGAGTAATGCCCTTCGAAACTTGTCCATGAGAAGTTCAAGCGGATCTAAAGCGGAAATGCCCGCTTGCTTCAAGTGTCCCGATGGGTCGGTCTGTCCGAAACCGGAATAGAAGAGAGGCGCAGGGCACAAGGTAACCGTAATACTAGCAAGGATGCTAGGGAAACAAATTGTTTTTCAAAGCTAAGTAATCTGACTGTGGATCAAGATGAATAGAAGAAACTACACCTCCACATCGATCAGAGAATCAAATCAAGTCAATCAAGAAAACATTTTCTTTCCCAGCCGGGGTCTCCTGGACCGATGATAGTATCCCAGCTAATTAAGTGGATTTTTCTCCTATCCAAAGATCTTCCCACTTTCCAGTGGTTATTTCTTCTAGTTCTTCCTATTTGATCCCGCTTAGTATACTCAGGGTAGACTGTTGCAAAGCGTTCTGCTGCAAACTGATATGTGGTAGTTCCATTCTCTGTGAAGTAGAATTGGCCGGAACCAACATCGAAAAGCAACTCCAATAGGAAGGAAGATACTATTCTACTAAGAAGAGCGGCTGAATCATCAGATTAGGGCTTAGCTGATCCAATAGCCGAGGGAACCTTTTTCACACAGAAGAGCCCCGAAACCTATCTAAAGGTGCTACTTGGTCGAACGTCCGTCCCATCCATTGGGATGCGTTGGAGAACCTTCGCAAGCCAATCATGAACAGGGTGCAACAACCGCTGATTAATGTAGTTACCAATTTCAAAAATATCCGCCTCTTACCAGCTCCAGCCATAGTGCAACCCTCCGATTTGTTCGTATCGGAAAGAGCTGCCAAGAGACTTGATCGAAGAGTCTAACCTGGACACAAGTTTTCAAGCATCAGTACTTCATTAGAAATATCAAATATCACAGTATCACTTTGAGATTCATGTTGTGTAGGAGCGTTTTCAACATACGTATCTTCAACATGCTCTTCTCCTTCCACACTAGTAACTTCATTCACCACCTCATCTATCGTTTCTAGTGCAATAAAACGATTTGTGATCATCGTAGCAGGAAGCGTATCAGAGGAAACCACAGCTACCTTATCACATGTGGCCTTCGTTAAAGGCAATTCATTATCTCTTGCATCCGAATTTTGCAGGACAGAGAATACATTTCTTGGTTTCAGAGGATTTGGGTTGGCCGTCCCCAATTCGCTTCTTTCAGGAGATGGCTGAAGATCAACCAAAATTAACTCCTTCTCCTTCATCGTCAAACTAGAAGACGATTCAGCTTGTCGCTAATCCAGGGTGTCCGGAACGATGTGCGCCTCTAGGGTTTCCTCAGGGCGCGACGAAGGGGCAGATGGCTTCATCGTTTCCTTTTCAATCCCTTTACCAATCAAAGGGTCTAAGCTCAATAGCTCGACATCCAACCCAGGCTTGCTATTCCCTGCTTTGAAGGACCACTTAGGTTTTGACGGAGCTAGTTTGATTCCCTTCTTCTTCACTACCGCAAGCTCAACTTTGTTGCGCCGCTGAAGAGGCTTTCCAACCCGACATTCCGAATCCTTCTGACCGATCTTACTACATTTTACACAGTAAGACGGAATGTGTTCAAAGGTAAATAATTGATCGTGTTTACGACCCTTCTTTCCAATCCTAACTGATTTTGGCAAATCTTTGGTTAAATCAATTTCAACACAAAAACGCACCACAGAAGGCCGAGTCATGTTTAAGGTTGGTGTATCAACTTTCAAAGGTTGGCCTAACGCAGTAGCCACCGAATAAATCACCTCTGGATGCATGTATTCAATGGGTAAATCATAAAGAGAAACCCAAATAGGCACCACCGGTGGATCTTCTTCAAACTGGAAGCCCGGAGTCCATTTCAAAATCCTCATTGAGAATCCACCTATATTTCAGAACGTCCTAATCCAACAACGTTGATAATCGTCTTCCTGCTCAAAATGGATCAACACGTGCCTAGGGTTCATAAGCCCCAATGTGTAGCCACCATTGAAGCCTATCTTTTTAAATTCAGTGTGTACTTCCTCTATCTTCGGCCTCCCATACAAAAATTTTCCGACCAAGCACAAACGTTGAGGGGAAATTAGCTTCTCAAATTCCTCGTGTTCAAACTCCAAAGTTGGAGTGCCATTGACGAACTTTATCTCTTTGATTAAAGAGTCTTTTGGATTGATGCATCATCCGATTTCTTAAAGAAACTAGCAAATGATCTAGGCAGCTCTTGACATGCCGCCGATCCATGAGTTCCGGCCATTACCACCGATACTCCAACCGCCGTCACAACTAGGGTTTCTGGCTAGAGACGTCTAAGAGTGTTGTATTTTTTTCCATTTCTTTGGGTGAGACTCCATTCAGTTTGTCCAGTCTCCGTAATACTCAGGATAACTCTTCTATTTACTTGTTCGAACTATTCCAGCATTAATGGTAGGAATTATTATTAAGGGGTAAAAACACCATCAAGAGTTAATTACCCAAGAAATATCACTAGAATGATCCTGGAGCCATTTCAAATCATTTTTATGTATTTTGCTATTATTTTTATTTTTCTTAAGTCTCTTTAAAACATCATTTCAGAAAAACATTTGATACATAGAATCAAATCAAATCGCAACATTACTGCTCCATAATTTAGTCTATTTGGGTGAAGGAAGTAGGCTTTCCGCTTTGAAGAAATCATCCTCGAAAGCAGCCCAGTACCAATGGCTCCGACCCGCATCTTTTGCTTGAATTATAAACTCCCAAACAATTGTCGCGGAAGATGTACCTTTATACTGTGCCTTCAACACAGTCTCAAACTCTAAAATGGTGGTGTATGTAGTTTGCTATTAATATTACACACAGAATGATAAAATATTTTATAAAATTTATATCTAAACTTCTGAACTTTTTGTGTAGTTGAACACTATGAACAATACTAATTTAACATGAGAATATTTTACTAACTCAGGTATTGACTTCAACCTTGCCACAAATTACGACATGGCATAAACTAAAATTTATAAAGAAGTGTGTCCTTTACAATAATTCAAGATCTCACAATAGTAGTTAGAAAGAAATTGATTTTACAATGATAACCAATAATTTTGTATGTCACATTATTTTCTATTATACCAAATTTAGTGATTGATACAACTCCCCTTTCAATAATTGTATTCTGAAATGTTGACAATGCACCCTTTCTCATAGAAGTTTGAATCTTATTTCCTTGAACACATATTAAGAGATTTATAAGAACATCAAAGTTACAATATGAAGCATCATTGCATTCAGTCACTTATTATAATTAAGTTATACATACTTTTTCTTTTTTCTTGGGGGGGAGGGGTGAAATCCAGGCCGGTACTTGGCGGGAGGACCCCAATTTTATTAACTTAAAAAGAGAAATACAATAGGTATTGCTTAAGACTTACCCGAAATGGAAGAACCATCTTACAAAGATTTTCTATAAAATCCCAAACAATAAGAAAAAAAAAACACTATGATAAACACAAAAAACAATAAGAACTATTTATAACTATTAACTAATTTCAGTAAGCGATGAATTAAATATTGTGGGAATCGTTGATTACTAATTTTCCATGAAATTAATATCCATGTTGATTTTCTAACTATCGTATGATATGGAAGACAACAAAGTTTGATGAAATCATGAAAATTTCGCGCAAAAATTTTTCTTTTTCTTGCAGCTATAAGGCAAAAACTGAAATTTCACCATCGAGCTATAAGAGAACAAGAGGTTGATCAAGCTAGAGAAGATGAGTTCGTAAAGGTTGTGAATGTAAGTGATGAGCGGAGAATCCTTATATTAGGGATCCACTATCTAACATAGTTGGTCCGATCACCCGTTCAAGATCCAAGACTGTGAAGACTGTTCTTAACAATCTACTTATGCCTACATGGTTAAGGAGTGGTTAAATATGATAGGTACAAGCCCAAGATTGTTAATGTATTGCAAGTGCTATCAAATGGACTCATGGACCTAGAAGGACGCTCAAATCAAGGCCTGTGGAAGAGCCAAGAGCCCATGGCCGCGCATATCATGGCTCGTGCACCCTAAACCCTAGCTTAAGGGTTAAGGTAGTTCAAATCCTTCCATTCCTACATTTGAGGGAGAGATTCAGCCACCTTCTTAGTTAAGTAATTTATTTTTGGCAAAAACATACTCTACAAGGAAGATATTGGTTGTGCTGAGCTCAAGAAAGAATATTACTTCACCATAAAACCATTAGATGTATTAAGCTTTTTTGAGAATATCTCCTTAGTAATAGGAGTTTAACTTTTAATTCACACTAAGATCTAATGTATTAGGTCTACGGAAGAGTCTAGGTTCGTTTTCTTGGTCATAAAGAAAACTAGGAGTAAAAAAGTTCCAATTTGACTTTGAATTTGTAGAATTAGGAAAAATGTCCTATTTCTTCTCTAAGAAATTCTGACAACCACCCTTATAAAAGGAGGCTGTCCAACCGAGTTTCATAAGTCAAATCAAGTTGAATAAATTGTGAGGTTTAACCTATCTGAGTTTTGGTTGTTGTGTAGAGCAAATTGTTTGGTTGGTGCTTTGAGTAGTGACGATCATTAGCACTTATCTTTCTTGTGTGGTTCGCCGGAAAGTGGCTTCTCAAGCAACGTTGTCTTTTGGTTTTGATACTTTTAGGGTTATAGATCAATATATATTAGCTGTTCTTGTTAGATTCATAAAAGGGGCATTGCTAGAATTCAATTGTTCAATTCATGGGATTGAGTTGGGTTGTTGGTTCTTTTGAACTCGTGAATTGATCCACGTGAGGTCAAATATCATCTTAATCTGCGTCTCTGGTATTCAAGTAAGTATCCAAGCTCATCATAATTCCGCTGCATGTTCTGTCCAATTCAAGCATAGTGGCTGAATAACAGAACAAACCAAAAGCAAACTAATATTGATTTATGTAATCCAAAAGTACAAAATAGTTTGGCTATTGGCATGTTGGATCTGGCATTAATCTAACACAAAATAGGAGAAACTGCGACATCCAACAAAACAAAAGACAAGAGAAATTGCCACATCCAACAAAACAAAAGACAAGATAACTAGCCGGTTAAGATTCATTTTCTTCAAAGTTTTCTTCAAATGTCATTGCTTCTATATGAGGAACATTGATTGAAAGGTCAGCCAATTCAGCTATATCTCCATCAATATCAAATTTGTCTCCACCTGCAAATTTAATCCATGGTTACGATAGATCACATATGGTCTATGGAAGTATGGTAAGTTATTAAAAAAGAAGAACTACTTACATATGTCCCAATATTTAGATGGCCCTTCTCGGTACCATGGTTTCTTGCGAGTAATCAGGCGGATATTAGCATGAACGAAGACTAAATCTTCTACCCTTTGAGAAGTCAACCAGTTCCTCTTAACATTGTGAATCATGGAGTAAGTACTCTAATTTCTCTCGCAACAAGCCGATGAGGCTGGCTGTGATAATAATTTAAAAGACAAGGATTGTAAGATTGGCATTGGAGATCCATAATTAGCCCACCAAGAGATTGGTTCTTCGTATTCCCTAGCCTCAACAACATGAGGAGCATTAAATGGACCACTACCAGTAGCAAACATGCCATATTCCTTAGAAACTTCTTTGAATTGCTTACTTTCGGGAAACATTCTCTTAAGGCATATAAAGCGATTGCTAGAAACCTCATCATCCACATGTGGAGCCACCCCTTTCATGCTGCTACTACCTCCACCTTGAAGCCAAGCATTGTTGTAATATTTATGAACCAACGAATGCGCCAAACAATGCAAAGGAGTGTAGCTTTTCACCATCTGTCCACTAAAACCTTGTGAACAACATTAAAGAAGTCTGATTTTCCAGTCAAGAGATCCTTTCCCTCGTGCTCAAAAATGATTACCTTTACTCTTTCGATCATTGAGTCCCACATATCATAGGTTTCATGTGGAATCAGAGTGTTGGTATCAGCTGCCCGCAACATGTCAATGATTGGTTTTGTAAACTTCAGAAAATAATCTATTTCCTCCCACCAAGAATCATCAAAAATACACCTCTTGACCTCACGTGCTTTCATTTCGATCACAGATTTACCATCTCCTTTGTACATCCAAAGAGGATCCATCACCATCTTCTCCAATGATTCTCTGACTTCCTTAAGTCGAAGAGCCATGATAATACCAGAGACAAATCTTGTTTCTGCAACTTTTAGCAAAGACAAACGTGAATGGCTCTTAAAAATTGAATTTCCC